ATTAACTTTAAACTTATTCCTCTTGTCTAAATATTTTTTGTCCAGATTCCTTGCCTGAGAAGGTAATTGAGAAAGTTTACAATGTCCCCAATCTTATGATGTATACGTAGATTTCACTTTTTTCCCCTTTCAATTTCTGCGTTTAGGTAAATTTTCTTGTCAAAAGTAAATTATCATTTCAATTTTTGAACAAGTTTTGACAATTTAATCGACATCCCTGCCTGAAAAAAAAATCCTTGATCTGTCTCTAGGGTTAATAAATGGTAGAGCACAAAGTGCGTAGAATTTAAAACCTAATTTTGCGCTAACGAATGGTTACAGGAGAGAGAGAGAGAGAGAGAGAGAGTTTAATGATTCAATGAATAAAAGACTTAATAAAAATTATCCGTATTGAACCAGCTTTCAAGTATCCCTACCCTAGTTTTAAAAATTTATCTCCCAAATATTCCTACAGGAATTATTTTTATTTTTGAAAAAGCTAGACTGTCAGACAGGGATGAAATCTCGAAATGAAAGACTTCCTGTACTACATAATTTAAAACAGTCACATACCCCAAAATGTACTTACTTTGTGGTCGGAGTGAGACAATAAAACATCTCAAAAATTGATTTAGCAGAAATGTCTGTCTTCCACGAATGTTTAGGTAACGGTCATGTCAATCCCCCCCCCCCCCCCTCCATAAAAAATACAAAATGCCTAAATGTCAATATAAACAGGGGATGGTCTTTCTTTTTGTGTGTTAAAAAACCTACAGATGTACAAATGAAATTTTGTATTCTGGTTAAATGCCTTTATTTCTTGAACTAAATAATTACCGTATATCAAACAACTCCGTTTAGATTTGAGATTAGTTCTAAAGTATTATCAGTAATAATTGAAAAAAGAATTTTGCGATGCAAAACAACTGCAGACTATATAGAATGTTTATTAGAACTATTGAGAGAAAATTTTCAGTTACACATTATGAAGCAGTTATAAATATACTTTAGTTACCCCCCACCCCTCCCCCCCCCCTTTCAGCCGCGCAAATACCAAATAACTTCTCTTTCCACTTGTGATATTTTCCCTGACCAAAATCTGATCAGCACGGACTAAGTGTTTTGATGTGCTAGTCTGTACGGAGTAAAGACAGTGTGTTTACTATTGAGCTTTTTATGGAGTTTATTTCTTTTTTGTGATGCATATTTCAATAAATGGAATTCAGGGTGTATATCACTTGACTTGTGCACATCTTCGAACCGATGCAGTAAACCTTATTACCAGGTATGGGTACGTTTACAGCGTTCGACGCGTTTTCTCGATATGCATCAATTGCATAGGACCTGCAAATCAAAGACGTTGGTTGTTTTGTTCCATTCAAATGATAATAATTTCAAAAAAGTGTTTGCAGATTATACTGCTTTTTATTTCAAGTTTATTCTGCATAAATTGGCGCACTGTAAAAATACGTACTCATACATCTAACTTTCTCTTCCAAACTTGCATTTTTTTCTTTTGATTCAAATCAATAATCATTCAGAAATATGCTTATTATGTTGTTTATTTTGGTTTTGAAATGTCTTGATCACCTCATGTGTTCTTATATATGCTTTACTATCGGAGATGTGCACAAGTCGATACCCATGCCAAAAAATCATTCAAGTGTAACGAGCGCATTGGGGTATATATCGTTACAATGAGACAATGTATCTGAAAGAAATATGGTGGAAAACGGCTATAGTTGGTATGAAACAAGTCGTTCGTAGATGAAAATGTTGCGTTTTTAAGAATTCATGTCAGCTTTAAGCTTAAACACTGCTGGTAAAGTGCGAATCGAGAAAATCTTGGTTTCGGACACCAGCTACTATTGGTTTACATCAATGAGGCAGTCTATGTCAACTTAACTATAAGAAATGATAGAACATTTGATAATGACTTAATTATTAATATCCAGTATGGTTTCATGCAGTAGAATTCCTTGTTGGTTGAATACAAATAAGGAGCAATCCCGTAAATGCTTTAGATTACACTCGTTTCATGTATTCTACTAGATTATTCATATTTGCTGTTAAAGTGGTAAACTCGATTAACGCTACATTATTTGTGTTAAAAGTGATATGAGTATATACTATATATATGAATCATTTATGATTTCCTGTTTCTATTATGTTTCACAAGATTAAAACTTTTGATGCAATATAGAGTTTTCTGATAATATTGCGAGTATGGTTGCTGTATGTGCGACTCTTGACACGTGTAATTGCTACGTTTGGCTTCTGTTCTGTTTCATGAGGTGCGACGTTTTACTGCTGTATCAAAAATTTATTGTTACCAGAGAAATACGTTTAAATTTAATATTGACACATTAGATAGTGCAAATTTCTTGAATAAATCCCCAAAATATATATACCTCCAATTCAAGGATTGGTTGCTTCGATCAAATATTTAAAAAATATTGCATATATACCCCCCCCCCCCCCCCAACATAAATTGTTCTATTATGTGAAAAAATAAAGGATTTAAAAATGCAAAATTCACTCTGGTTATGTATTTGAAGAGAATAGACGTTGATGCATGTAAGAGTGTTTTTTTACTTTTACATCCCCTCCCATCTTCGCTAGCCAAGGGTTTCCGATTCGAAAGAGTAGATTTCTAATCGGAAACCCTTGGCTAGCGAAGATGATCCCCTCCATGAATAGTTTTAACCTTTGACTTGAAAAGATGGCATTATGTATTTCAGATAATTAACTTCTATGGAATATTTTGATATCTCAACAAAATATTCTCATATTTGAATGACATAAAGACACCGGTCCATTTATTAAACATACAGACCCGTGACATTATTTTTCAATGTATACGTAGGAAGGATGAGGATCGCAGGTGATTGACAACCCAAGAAAAATGTCCAATCTCGGAAGAACACAGCTCCAAAACTGTAGTGTTAACTTATGGTTTTTCATGTTTTCATCTTTGACTATAAAGACTTAAATATAAACCATAACGCTGCCGTTCTGAAGCTAGGAAGAGCAGTCCTTCTTTATCGTGTGTTGGGGACCTTTCTCTAACTATTCCATTTGTCCACAACGGCCATCTTTGCTATCGGAGGGTTTCTCATATGCTACTTTCTGCATAAACTGACGAAAGTAGCGTATTAGAAACCCTTGGCTAGCGAAGATGACAACGGCTGGGTTTGCAAACCTTACGGTTAGCTGCAGAACTGTATCTGTCCGAAGACGGAAGAGCTGGAAAAATGTAAACCGGTATTTATTGTACATAAAAGTGTGCTGCTTCTCGGATTCAAACTGTCATATTCTAAAAACAATTTTACTTAGTGGGTGTTCCAAATAAATTCCTTTACAATTTCCACTCACTATTTCCACAACAAATAACTGTTGTAAATAACCCTCCATGAAATTGAGACCAGCCAATTTCGCATTTTTTCTGCAGATGACAAGAGACAAATAGTTTCAATTGCAACACGCTTCGTGAAGAATTCTAGAGGTCATGATTTTTTTTAGCTTTGTGCAGTTGAGATAAAAATTTGGAGGAATTAATCAAGTACCAATCGCAGCTTTTGGGCGCATTCTTTAACAGATTTTTGTTTGGGTGGCACTGTAGCACTTCGGTCGTCTATCTCATTTAAATGCAGCTACCTTACGGTTACAAAAAAGCTGAGGGGGGCATGTCTACATAAAAAATTAAAAACATGAATCAAAACTAAAGCAAAAGACTATTTTCAGGAAATAAAGTACACCCCAACTGGCATACTACGTGCCTGAGATGTAACTGGATAAATGTAGACTACATGCAACACAATTCTTAGGATGTAAACATCACGCTTTGAACAAATATAAATTGCAAGGAAAAATATTAATATACATTCGTTTACTGCTTTAAAAAGTTTGATCGCTTGATCACGACATTCGTATATGTATACCTGGTGCAGTTTTAAATTATTTGGTGTCATCATCTTGCTCATTTATACCACATTACTCCATTTAAAAGTAACAAAAGAATATAACAAAAAAAAAACAACACAATATCCGGGTAACAAGAATTGTTGGAACATTTCGTATTGCTGCAAGAAATGGTCAGAAATGACAATAAACTACAAAAACTATTATCCTTTTCATGCAATTTTGAATAATTTCATAATATTCACTTTAAGTAACATAAACCAACAGTCTCAGAGACGTAAACCAGTTGTCGCATTTACACAAATAAAAAGTCGCCTGTGTCAAAATTTTACAGAAATCAATTGTAGCACCTACAAAATGAATTTGCTAGTTATTGACTAATTCCATGAAAATAATTAATGTAAAGCACATTGTCTGTGTCCACGGCATAAAATAACGTTGAATTAAAGTTAAATTTGTCCTCTTAACTGTCCAATCAGTCCTGTAGCAGTTAATGCATCATTCGAATGCGAGTACATGAAAAACACGTTGTAAACAGCCACTTACATGTAATGTTTCGATATTGAGCATTATGGGGGTATTAAAGCAATTCAATCGCTTAACATTTTAATAAATTTGCTTTCTAAAAAGTGATTTTTATTGTTTTATATCAAAAAATATGTATTTAACTAGATATTTCACAGGTGCCAATAGTAGCTGGTGTCCGAAACCAAGATTTTCTCGATTCGCACTTTACCGGCAGTGTTAAAGATAAGTGACTTTTATGCCCATCAACATGGAAAAATTCTCTGGTTGCTAAGGAATTTTCTTGGGCCGGGTTTCCATGGTAACCATGACTCAAAAACTTTTTTCATTTAACATACATGTTAATTGAGTAAGAAATCATCGAATTCTGAAAACCTTCATGTATCACCTTCATACATTTTTTTTCTGATTTTTATGTGGACTGCAACTGGTCCTTAACATTTTACTCAACTTCTTGTGATAAACTGGATTTGTTTATTTGGCTGCAATAAGCAGGGAGTTGGAAGATAGAACATATTAGCTTTGTAATGTTCAACCCTTTCGCTGTAAAACTTATTCACAAAAAAAAAAATCAATAAACATTCTTTAAAACACATTTATTCCATACTTATATTGGACACTGGACACATTCTGTAGTGCTTCAAAATATAATAATCCTTTCTTTGGTAAATATCAATTGATATTTACTTTACGACTAAGGATTTCATAACCCTGATTTCCCTTTATACCTACACGATCGAACCAATAACACGCACTCCTAAACATTCTGGTAATTTCTAATTCTCCCCGGGGGACATCCAACGGAATTGGCTCTGGTTTACCTATAAAATCAAAATTATTATTAATCAATATTTACATAAATTTATCGTAACGAAAGATGTTGTGGAAAGAATGGAAATGCGTCTTGATCGTATAGTGGTTTATTTTAGACTCTGTTATTAACTATAGAAACATAACGTACAGTATTGTGACGTAACAATAACGTTAACGTACGTAACATAAACCCGCGTATAATCCATGACACTCCGGGCATCGAAATGAATTATACTAGAATATTAAAAAGTTCAAATCAAATTAACAGTTCATGGAAATTAAACAAGTTCATAATCACTGAATTAAGAGGTCCATTCATGGATTTTTTCGTTGGTTCCTGTTTTTGATACTCAATCCTTTTCTGTTTAGACACTTTATCTGCCAGGTTTTGTATCAGAGTCTCAGTTCCGGGATGTTTGTGACGAAGTTCTGTGTTAGCTTTCTCCAGCTCCATGTTTCGAGTCCGTAGATTGGCATTTTATTTATGATCTCTGTCATGTCCCTGAGATTCTTTTTCTGTGATTTTTCTTTTTCCGTCTCCTCAGCCTCTGTACGTTTTTCTGTCATCTGAGTTTCTTCCCTTCGTGTGTCATCACGGATCCTTTTGGTGAACATGTAATCCTTCTCCCTACTTTCCACGCGGTCCTGTGAGGTGTATAGCTGATTTTCAAGTGTCTGTACTTTCATATTTAGCTCCCTTATTTGCCTTTGAGCGTAATCATATCGTGACTGAAGACTGTTGTTTTTAGCGTTAGGATGCTCCGAGTGAGTGCTGTAGGTTTTGATATTTACAACTTGATCTTTTAATTCCCGAACCTCGTTATGCAGACGTCCGTTTTCGTACGCTAGTTTATTTATATGTTCCATCATATCCTTCATCCCATTCTCCACACGAGTCTGAAAATTTCTTTGCTGGTCGAATTGTAACAATCTCTCTAGCATGGTAGCATTTTCTCGTTCCAATGCGTTCATCCTTTCTGTCTTAGTCTTCAGCTCTAACTTAAGTTTCTTTATCTCGTTAGTTAGCTTGTTACGTTCTTGAACGGAGTCCACAGTCCGACTCATCGGAGTGGAAGCTGATTTCCATAAAACACTTTTATGTCGTTGTTCAACGTTCAATTCTTTAGTTTTTGGTTTGCTCGTTCCTACAATGTTAACAATTGTTGATTGGGTGGGCTCGTCTCTGTCCCTCGTTAGTTTCATGTCGCATATGCTTGTGTGGTGTTTCTTCTGGCACTTTTTACATCTGTTGTGGGATTTACAATCTGCGGCGCGGTGGTTTCCTAAGCAGTTGAAACATAATTTCTTCCGTTTTAAGATGTCAAATCTTGCACTTACTTCTGTAACTTTCTTACAATCCCCTGGAAAGTGATTCTCTGTGCAACAATAAATGCATGGACGGCTCTTTATCTCTGTTGTTTCGATATAAGGAGTTGACTCTTTTGTTTTCTGGTTTTGTCCATAATGAACATGGCGTTGTTTCTTTGAGGCTACGGTAAGAAACACTGCTGTTGCGTGGAATCCATCGCTGTTTTCAATCTGGCCTGATTCAAGGATTTTGACTTCTTTGCTGATAGCTTTACGAAGATCGTGTAGTGAAATGTTGTCACCATCGTACTCACGTGCAATGTTTTTCCTGATTTCAGCTGGTAGCTTGTTCATTATGACTGGAATAAGTAAAGCTCCGTACATCTCTTGTTTTTGTCCTAGACACTCTAAACTCCTGACATGAGATTCCAAGCAGTCTCCATAATTTCTTAAACTGATGGCGTCGTTTCTCGGGGCTTGCAGTTCCATAAGTGCTCTCATGTGACCATTAATGATTTTTTGTGGTTGACCAAATCGTTCCTTGAGCAGGTCTATGGCGGTTTCGTAATTTGCGTTTGTGAGAGTAAATCCTGCAATGGTTTGTGCTGCTGCGTCGCGTAATTGAGCCTTGAGATACGAAAACTTTTGAATTGGTGTTAAAGTTTGGTTGCGGTGAATTGCTGATTCAAATGAATCCCAAAACGTATTCCACTGTAATATATCCCCGTCAAAATCTGGAAGATTTAGCTTCGGTAATCTATGATTATTCGTAGCGTGGTTGGATGGTAATGACAAAACATTTTTCTGCCAATCTAGGTTACTTTGTTCATTGAGATCAGAGGCAGGAAAATTGTTTAAAATATTCTCACAAGCCGTTTCACTTGAGTTAATTGCAGCTGACGTGTTTACGTTGCTATCATGAATTTCTAATGTGGGTACAAAACACTCAGCACTGGCGTTCAAAGTTTTACATGAAACTTTTCCCGTAAATTTTTCTGTTTTCTTAATTTTGCAATCTAATTCGTACATATACTCATCTGTGTTCGTGATTTCTTCTTCTATGTCCTCTTCAGATAAGGCGTCTAATATTCGTTCATTTAGTTCTTGAAGAATTTGTCTTTTTTGCGTTAGAGACCTTCTAATTATTTCGACTTCCTCCGTTACTTCACTGGCTGTATTTTCTTTCAAGTCCAAAAATCGTCCGAAAAGTTTCGTTACCGCTGATCTGTTACCGGCCCGTATGGCTTTCAGTCTTCCTTCCATTGTGCGTATATATTATGTAAACATTCCGTCGGTCACGGCACCAAAATGTTGTGGAAAGAATGGAAATGCGTCTTGATCGTATAGTGGTTTATTTTAGACTCTGTTGTTAACTATAGAAACATAACGTACAGTATTGTGACGTAACAATAACGTTAACGTACGTAACATAAACCCGCGTATAATCCATGACAAAAGAATCTATGATAAAAAAAATAAACTAAAAGTAGATTATATATTGAATTTTAAGGTTCATCGTTACTCTAATAAGAGAGATAACTCTCAATGACAAAAGTGTTGTTTTCTTTTTGGTCAAATTTTACCAAGCAAACTATGATATAATTGTTTGTATTTTAATTATAAAATACATTTCTTTGGGAAAATCATTAAGGTTCAAGAAACATTTAAAATGAGTGAGCAGAGGGATTATGATCCTTAAAAAGCTTTTTATTTACCTATTCTGTATCTAAGGGTGTTGTTAGTTCGTGGCACGATATCCATGCATACATAGACGTCTTCACTAAAACAGAGATGACACAGTATTTAATGTGCTATTTTTGGATGTCACCGGTATTTTCTTTTACGTTTAATTGTTGTCAGATGTAACTTCTTAACTGGTATACTAGGTAATGCTCTAATTTTATCAAACCTAATTACATATGTACAAGTAAATCAATAGTAAAGTATTATTTATGATGCCATTCATTTATATACTTGTACATGTTGTACTAAAAATAAATTCAGTAATAAAAATTGTTTCTAATTAAAAACCGCCAATTTTTAAAGTATTTTAGAATACTAGTAACACAAAATTATTGTATATTGTTATAATATTGTTATATTATAAGGATTAAGAATTTACCATTCTCCAGCCATAACTCGTGTCATTAGGTACCTGGTACCAGATTTTTTCTGACAAGCGAATATTGAATCCAAGAACTCGATTGCGTTAGGTTCAGTTTGGAAACGGATATTTGTTTCATTTATGACTACATCAAATTTGAACCCTGACCCCTTGGTTTTCCATTCTCCTGCAAGATCGCTTGGCATGTTACAGCGAGAGATCATGTGCTCAGTGGTAGGAACAGCTGAAAACATAATGTTAAAAATAGATATTTTTTAAAAAATTGAATCAATTGCAAGGTGAACAAATTATATATTTTTATTCATTGTCTATATTTATTATCGTCTATATTACCATATGTGTAAATATCAATGCAAATAAGTCGAGAATTATCTGTTAGTTGATAATAATTGTATGTTTTGTAATATTTTCACTCACTGCTTCTTAATACTAATCTGACTGGTGCACTGTAAATACTATTCAAACTTGAACATTCAGCAAAACGGGACATCACCCATCGCTTCTCTTCTCCTTTCTGGGATTTTGATGTCATCTGTTGTGCAGATTAATTATGTTTACAATGTAAATGCATGTGCATTATCATATGAGCTGTTTTTCAGGTTAAAAGATGAGGTGACACAACTGCTATCTGGGGCCCCCTTTTTCACGACGAATTATATTTAATTTTAGTAGTTTTCAAACATGAGTGAATAAATACGACGCCTTTTGAATAGTTTCAATAGTTCAGACACATTTTAATTATAAGGAATATTGTATTATGTTTAATTTTAGACCCTATCACAACAAAATTTGGCCAGGTTTGTGACAATATGTTCATTTATGGAAGGAGAATGGGCGGGTCTTAGTATGATAGAGGTATGCATGTCAGAGAATTCTACCTCATATGGCTATTGTTATTATTTCGCACATAGTCATTGTCCAATCCGATGACAGAACAACAAAACATGCTGGTTTACTACGTTTACATTTTACTAGTATCACAGCCACGTGGTTTAGGTCAATTTATATGTTATCCTCTTCTACATTTCAAACTGTAATTTTAATGGTCAGCCAAGGCTGTTTATACTTTATAATACGCATGAATTCTCAGCGTTTACGGTTTTTAGGTCAAGAAATGCACATGAAACTTTTATTCACTGATACTCGGGAATATGTGTAGACCTAGCGAATTGCCCAACAAACACGTTTAAATACTTTAAACTATGTATATTTATCAACTGTTTGTAACTGTGATCTCTAAATTGTATATACAATGTATGTAGATCCGTGTCTAATCTGTGACTGAAATGCGTAAAAAAAATTATTGGAAAACAGGTAAAATCAAGCATGTTTCCTTATAGTATTTTTGTGGTACTCATGCACTCGTAACGAAATTTCATGTAGCTGATTGGTCAGTTAGAAAGTATAGCCAGTGCCTCAATTAGCATATGGATCTATTCTTACGTCAAAAATCTAGTTTCGTCGATCTGTTCATAATGGGAAAGGCCAGCTAGATTTTACAATTATTTTAAAAGTAGTATGTGAGCGCAGTTAGGCGCAATTTTCTTCTTTCACATAAAGGTAGATTTTATTTAAATACAGTGCCCCGCCAAAGGAGAAATTGTACCTACCTGCGCTCGTATATTTTAAGGGCTTCAAAGAGTGGGGTGGGGCCCAAATTCAATTGGAATTGGATGTAAACACGATACCCGTATCCAAATGAAAGATCTATATTTTTCAACATCTATTTTTGTTAAAAGTAGTATTCCGTTAGGGTACACATACATGTATCTGTGATTAGTTGCATCTTACAACTAGAATAAAATTTCGACATTTAATTTTCTGTCAATTTACC